TCACCAAGTTGCCCAGGCGGGTCTCGAACCCGTGGGCTCAGGCAATCCACTTGCCTTGGCCTCCCAAGGCACGGGATTACAGGTTGAGCCACTGAGCCTGGCCACGCTGAAATCTTACCTTCCTCCTCATTTCCCAGTGGCCTGCCCTCAGGGGAACTGGCTTCTTAAAAGAGGCATAAACTCTCAAGCCAGATTAGTTTAGAATCTGATCTCCACCGGTTCCTAGCTCTGTGATCTTGAGCAAGATGTTTAACCTCCCTGAGTCTCAGTTTCCTCATCTAAAAGCTAAGTTAATTAACAGTCCTAATTCACTGAGTTGTTGTAGGATTAAAATATGCTTAAAAAAAAATGAAGCAGTGGAACATCCGGAAGATGGAATATTCAGTGCTAAAAAGAAATGAGCTATCAAGCCATGAAAAGATATGAGGAAACTTAAGTGTATATTACTAAGTGAAAGAAACCAGTCTGAAAAGGCTATATACCTTATGATTCCAACTATGTGACATTCTGGAAAAGGCAAAATTATGAAGACAATAAAAAAAAAATCAGTGTTTTCCAGAAATTAGAGGGAAGGAGTAGGCGGAGCCCAGAGGATTTTTAGGGCAGTGGGACTACTCTGGATGATACTTTATGTTGAATGCATGCTATTATGCATCTGTCCAAACCCGTTGAATGTACAACAGCCAGTGTGAACTCTAATATAAACTATGGATTCTGGATGATAATGATGTGTTCATACAGGCTTAACAAGGGTAACAAATGCACCCTTCTGGTGGGAGATTTTGACAGTGGGAGGAGGGCTGTGCCTGTGTTAAGGCAGAGGGTAGATGGGAATTATCTGTACTTTCTGCTCAGTTTTGCTATACAACTTAAACTGCTCTAAAAATAAAATCTATTGGCCAGGTGAGGCGGCTTAAGCCTGTAATCCCAGCACTTTGGGAGGCCCAGATGAGAGGATTACCTGAGTCCAGGGGTTCGATCCCAGCCTGGGCAACTTAGCGAGATCTCGTCTTTACAACAAATAATAATAATAAAAAAATTAGCCAGGCATGGTAGCACACTCCCGTACTTGGAAGGCTGAGGCGGAAGGATATCCTGAGCCCAGTAGATCAAGGCTATGGTGGCCATAAGTGTGCCTCTGCACTCCAGCCTGGGTGGCAGAGTAAGACTCCAACTCAAAAAAATAAAATAAGCCAGGTGTAGTGGTTCACGCCTGTAATCCCAGCACTTTGGGTGGCTGAGGCGAGAGGATTGACTGAGCCTAAAAGTTCGAGACCAACTTGGGCAGCACGGTGAGACCTCGTCTCCAAAATAAATCAAAAAATTATCTGGGTGTGGTGATGCACACCTGTAGTTCCAGCTACTTGGAAGGCTGAGGTGGAAGAATCGCCTGACCCCTGCAAGTTGAGGCTGCAGTGGCCATGAGTGTGCCACCGCACTCCAGCCTGGATGACAGAGTGAGACTCCTACTCAAAATATATAAATAAAATAAAATAAAATCTATTAAAAGTAATAATTATATGACGCACTTGGAACAGTACCTGGCATATAGGAAGTTCCATGTGTTTGTTTTTATTTTTATTATTTCCTTAATACATACACCGTTTCCACTAACATCACCTAGTCCCTGATCTAACTGATAAAAAATGACAGTCTCTCACATAAACAAGGCAGCATACGTATTTCTCATTCTCAAAGCATTTTCAAGCACAGAACCAGGCACCATAATTTGAGCATAATCTATGAGGGACACAAACCCGGGGGCAGGGTTCAGAAGCAGAACAGGAGGAATGCAAAGATTTAGCTCTAATTAGCTCTGATTATGATAAGGAGAAATTAGAACTAAACCAAAGGTCTAACAGGAAGAGATGGGTAGAGTAAGATATAAACACGGGCTGGGCTCCATGGCTCGGCCTGTAATTCCAGCACTTTGGGAGGCCGAGGTGAGTGGATTGCCTGACCCGCGGGTTCGAGACTAGCCTGGGCAACTTGGTAAGATCTCGTTTCTACAATAAATAAAAATATTAGCCAGGCATGGTGGCGTGTGCCTGTAGTTCCAGGTACTTGGAAGGCTGAGACAGAAGGATTGCCTGAGTCTAGTAGGTCGACATTGGGGTGGCCGTGAGTGTGCCACTGCACTCCGGCCTGTGCAATGGATTGAGATTCTGACTCAAAAAAAAAAAAAAAAAAAAAAAAAAAAGATATAAACACATCATAATTGAGACAAAAGAACATTTAATGACATAAAAGTTATTCTTGCTAAGTCATGTGACAAAGGAAAAATATAAAAAAGTAAGTGAAGTACGAATCTACTGTGCGCTTTTTTGGGTTTGTGTTGGTATATTACATTTGTTAAAAAGACCAGAAAGGGCTGGACCCAGTGGCTCACGCTTGCAATCCCAGTACTTTAGGAGGCAGAGGCGAGAGGATCCCTTGAGCTCAGGAGTTTGAGACCATCCTGGGCAGCATAACAAGATCTCATCTCTACAAAAAAAATTTTTTTAATTAGCTAGATGCGGTGGCGTGCACCTATAGTCCCAGCTACTCCAAAAGGTGATGCAGGAGGATCACTTGAGCCCAGAAGTTGGAGGCTGTGATGAGCCATGATCATACCCAGGGGCCCTCAAACTACGGCCCGCGGCCCGCGGAGGACATTTATCCGGCCCACCGGTTGTTTTTGCCACCGGTGCCTGTCCTGCCTAGCAGCCGACTTGTCCAGGCCCACAGTGCGTATGTGTGGAATGTGCATCGCACTCTCCGACTCCCCTCCTTCTCTCTGTCTCTCGACTCCTCCTCTCAGTAATCTCAGGAACCATGCACTCAAAATGGCAACCATCTTTGGCAGCACTTATGTCTATGAACAGACTTTTTCCAGAATGAAACATCTGAAGTCTCCAACCAGATCTAGACTAACTGATGCACACTTGCATCACTTGTTACGACTAGCAGTGACAAATATGGAACCGGACATTGACCATCTCATTAACCAAAAGCAGGCCCATAGTTCCCATTGAAATACTGGTAAGTTTGTTGATTTAACTTTACTTGTTCTTCATTTTAAATATTGTATTTGTTCTTTTGTTTTTTCGCTTCAAAATAAGATATGTGCAGTGTGCATAGGAATTTGTTCATAGTTTTTTTTTTTAAACTATAGTCCGCCACTCCAACGGTCTGAGGGACAGTGAACTGGCCCCCTGTTTTAAAAGTTTAAGGACCCCTGATCATACCACTGAACGCCAACCTGAGTGACAGAGTGAGACCCTGACTCAAAAACAAAAAAAAGATATGCATCAAAATATTAATGTGGCTGGGTACAGTGACGCACACCTGTAATCCTAGCACTTTGGAAGGCCAAGGTGAGAGGATTGCCTGAGCCCAGAGGTTTGAGACCAGCCCGGAGAACTTGGTTAGACCTCAACTCTACGGTAAATCAAGGAATGAGCCAATCATGGTGGCATGTGCTGTGGTTCCAGCTACTTGGAAGGCTAAGGCAGAAGGATCACCTGAGCCCTGCAGGTAGAGGCTGCAGTAGCCATGACTGTGCCACTGCACTCCAGCATGGGCGACAGAGTAAGATTTTGACTGAAGAAGAAAAAAAGTAATGTTTATTGTTTCTCAAGGGAGCATTAAGAAGTCATTTTTCCTCTTTGTGTTTGAATTTTCTAAATGCCACATAATGAACATGTATTACTTTTAAAATAAGGAAAAACTGTTGTTTAAAAATAAGACACAAGTGGGCTCGCCCCGGGCCCCTGTGTGTGCCTGCACGCATGGGGGGCGGGTCGCAGCTATTCTTTCTGGGAGCTCTGCGTGGGTGATCCACTCCAGACACTTCTCCTGGGACTGCACTGTCGGAACTCAGCTGTGCCTTCTCCACGGAGTAGGATGTGATGTCAGAGAAGGGGACAGGGCTATCCAATCTCTCCATTGCTGGGAGGAGTTGTCCAGGTGTGCTGAGGGACCTGTATTCAGGAAGAGAAACAGGAAATCCTCCACAGCACTAGAAAAACACCCCAACTCACCAATGATGGCAAAGCAGATATTGGAAGTCATTCAGAAAGAAGGGTTAAAAGAAACAAGCCATGAACTGAAATGTCTTGACCCTTATCAAGCAGCCCCGCAAGCCATAAATCTGAATGAAACTGCATAAATAACAGCCACAATACAGATATCCTAATGGAAGAAGTTTTCTTGCTTGCTTGCTTGCTTGCTTGCTTGCTTTTCTTTTCTTTTACTCTTTCTATTTATCTTTCTTTCTTTCTTTCTTTCTTTTTTTTTTTTTGAGTACAGGAGACTTTATTGATGGTGCATGACAAGGCGGGGCTCCCTAGGCTCCCCCCACCCCCATTTTTCAGGGTGTCTGGCATGGGCAGTGTGAGGAGGAGAAGTTCTCAGTGTGGTCGGGGACTCCCTAGCAGCTGAGGGCTTCTCTCTTCCTCTCGTGATCTTGCTGGGGCTGGTGGTCCACAGGCTCTTACTCCTTGGAGGCCATGTGAGCCATGAGGTTGACCATCCTGTTGCTGTAGCCAAATTCAATGTCATACCAAGAGATGAGTTTGACAAAGTGGTCGTTGAGGGCAATGCCAGTCCCAGCATCAAAGGTGGAAGAGTGGGTGTTGCTGTTAAAGTTAGAGGACACAACCTGGTGCTCAGTGACGCCCAGGATGCCCTTGAGGGGGCCCTCAGATGCCTGCTTCACTACCTTCTTGATGTCATCATATCGGGTGGGTTTCTCCAGGCAGCAGGTCAGGTTCATAACGGACACATTGGTGGTGGGGACATGGGAGGCCATGCCCGTGAACTTCCCGTTCAACTCAGGGATGACCTTGCCCAGGGCCTTGGCAGCCCCAGTGGATGAAGGGATGATATTCTAGAGGACCCTGCGGTCATTGTGCCATAGCTTCCCAGAAGGGTCATCCACAGTCTTCTGGGTGGCAGTGATGGTATGGAGGGTGGTCATGAGTCCCTCCACGATGCCCAAGTTGTTGTGGATGACCTTGGCCAGGGGAACTACGCTGTTTGTGGCACAAGAGGCGTTGCTGACAATCGTGAGGTTGTTCTGGTACTTCTCATGGCTCACGCCCATCGCAAACATGGGGGTGTCGGCGGAGGGGGCAGAGATGATGACCCTTTTGGCTCCCCCCTGCAAGCGAACCCCAGCCTTCTCTAAGGTAGTGAAGATAACGGTGGACTCCACTATATAATCAGTCCTGGCGTCACCCCATTTGATTTTGCTAGGACAACGCTCCTGGAAGATGGTAATAGGACTTCCATTGATGACAAGCTTCCTGTTTTCAGCCTTGACAGTGCCATGGAACTTGCCATGGGTGGAGTCATATTGGAACATGTACACCATGTAGTTGAGGTCAATGAAGGGGTCATTGATGGTGACAATAATCACTTTGCCAGAGTTAAAAGCAGCCCTGGTGACCAGGCGCCCGACATGGCATTTACTCTGACCTGTGCCTTTACCATGGTGTCTCAGCGACACAGCTTGCGCTGCAACAGAGACATGGTTGTCGGTTGAACAGGAGGAACAGAGAGCTGGAAGAAATTTTCTAAATGTCCAAAATAGGAGAGTGTATTTGATTCTGAGTATGGAAGGGCTACTCTTGTGTTAAGTAAGTAGTTGAGTATTTTGTGGAATAGAGTTACTTCTCTCAGTTCTCAAACCTTGTGGATTTTATAGGGTCGGCAAACTGAAATACAGTGCTGATCTTTAATAAGAAAACTATGTGTATACCAGACAACCTGACACAAAACAGACAAGCACAATTTTTTTTGTAAAGAACTGTATCATTATTGACTTTACAAAGATATTGTTATGTCTTAAAAATCTATTTCCATAGTCTAGAGAAAAGATGAAAGAAATATTTCTTACTGGTTTAATGGTAATTATTACTTCTATTAATTCCATATTTACATTTAGAATAAATTTCAATTATTAAGTTAAAAAAAATAAGACACATTGGAAGGCTGAGGCGGAAGGATTGCCTGAACCCAGTAGGTTGAGGCTGTGGTGGCCTGTGAGCACGCCACTGGACTCCAGCCTGGGTGACAGAGTGAGAATCCAGCTCAAAAAAAAGATACATAACTGTATATGCAGTGTGATTCAGTTGCATAAAAGATATGAAAAGAGGCTGGGCTCAGCCTGTAATCCCAGCATTTTGGGAGGCCGAGGAGAGTGGATTGCCTGAGCCTGCAGGTTCAAGACCAGCCTGGGCAACTTGGTGAGACCTTGTCTCTACAATACATTAAAAATTAGCCGGGCATGGTAATGCGCACCTGTAGTTTCGGCTACTTGGAAGGCTGAGGCGGAAGGATTGCCAGAGCCAAGCATGAGCATGCCACTGCACTCCAGCTTGGGTGACAGAGTGAGACTCCAACTAAAAAAAAA